ACGCACCAACATGGCGGCGTATGGATGTGCTTTCGATGGTTTCCAGGACACCCTTCTCGTCAACCAGGGTGTTCAGGTCTTTAGCAACAGCTACATTGAGGGCAGTGTTGACTTTATTTGGGGTTACAGCAAGGCGTACTTCCACCAATGCTACGTTGCCTCCAACACCCCGAGGACGTACATTACTGCCCAGAACAGACCCAATGCCGCGTGGGCTGGCGGCTTCGTCTTTGACAAGTCCGTCATCACCTACACCGAAAGCTACGGTACCAGCTTCGGTACTGTTGCTCTGGGTCGTCCTTGGTCGCAGTATGCCGTCACGGTGTACATGAACTCCTTCCTGGACAAGCATATTTCCCCTGCAGGCTGGAGCGTCTGGCAAACGAGCAACCCCCAGACCGACAATGTTCTCTTTGGCGAGTTCAACAACGTTGGACCTGGCAACTGGACCGACTCTCGCGCCACCTTTGCCACCAAGCTCACCGAGGCACAGGCTTCCCAGTACAAGCTTGAGACCTTCATTGGCAGCACGAGCTGGCTGGATGCCAAGGCGTTTGCCTATGTCCCTAGCTACAGCCTCACTTCAGTCGGAGCCGCCGAAGTGCCGGTTCCCGTGCCCACCACCCCCGTCGTGATCACGCACCCGACGAGCGGCACCGAGCCTCCTGCTGGTGCCGTCATCGTGGGCGCCCCTAGCGCCGTCACCCGCCGCGCTGATGGTAGCACCGCGAAACCCTTCAACAGCCTGACAGCTGCCCTGGCTAGCTTGCCATCGGATTCGTCGAACCAGATTATCTTCCTCTATCCGGGTACCTACACGGAGCAGGTGCCTAGCATCAACCGCCCGGGACCTGTCATGATCATTGGATACACGAGTGATGCCCCCGGCAAGAGCTACAAGAACAACCAGGTCACCATCACCCAGGCCCGTGGTCTGTCCGTGTCCCCACCGCCTGCCGGTCACAGCAACGCCGAGACGGCAACCATTGCCACGGCGAGCTCCAAGATCTCCTGGTACAACATCAACCTCGTCAACACGGAGAACCTGGACGGCGCGATTCCCAGCTACGTCTCCCTGGCTGCCAGCGTCTATGGCGACAAGATTGGCTTCTACGGTTGCTCGTTTGTTGGCTGGCAGGACACCCTCCTGACGGGCGCAACGGCTGGCAACCAGTACTACGAGAGCTGCTACATTGACGGTGCCATCGACTTCATCTGGGGCTACTCCAAGGCCTACTTCAAGGGCTGCACGATTGCCGCGAAGCGAGCCAAGTCCGCCATCACCGCTCAAAGCCGTGCGAGTCTGACTGCCATTGGCGGTTACATTTTTGATCAGTGTCTCTTCACCGAGGCCCCGACCGCTACCGTCGATCTCAAGGGCCAGGTGTACCTCGGCCGGCCCTACTCCAAGTTTGCGCTTGTCGTCGTCAAGAACAGTTTCCTCTCCGACGTTATCCAGCCCGCTGGTTGGAAGATCTGGTCCAACACTGACCCTCGCAACGACTCGATCACGTTTGCCGAGTACAACAACGCCGGCCCGGGCAGCTGGGAGAACAACGCTGCCGCTCGTGCGACTTTCCGGGGCGCCTCCCTGCTCACCGCCGATGACTACCCCCTCAGCAAGGTCATGTCCAGCACTGACTGGATTGATCTGACCTACTGGGACCAGATCCAGACGCCGCAGCCCGCCGTGGTACCCGTGACACCTGTAACCCCCACTGTCTATGACGGCACCAAGCCTCCTGCCGGCGCCTTCATCGTCTCCAAGACGCCTGTCGATGGTCAGACCACGTACGACACCATTCAGGCGGCCCTCAACGCCCTACCGACCTCGAAGCAGATCACGCCCACCGTCTTCATCTACCCTGGCACGTACAATGAGCAGTTGATCCTCGCGCGGGCTGGTACCACCATTCTCATCGGCTACAGCTCGAACTCTGGTGACTACTCTCAGAACCAAGTCACCATCAGCTTCGACAAAGGCATCGACACGCAGGCTGACGCCTCCAACTCGGATTCTGCCACTGTTTACGCCACTGGCAACTACCTGCAGGCTGTCAACATAAACTTTGCCAACACCTTTGGCACCGCATCCAAGTGAGTTGAACACAGGCACAAGCATTCTTTTTTTCTGCGCTCGACTAACACATGATTCCAGCTATGCCTCGCT